TTTTTTCAAAAAGTCGAAACCATTGAGAAGAAACGGCTGTTCACGTTTCCGACGTTCCGAAGGACTCGCGAGATACGAGGGTTGCCCCAAAACTTGTAATTTCCAAAATCGCCCTGTATTTTAGAAACTAATACGTGAAAATACGCCGTCTTTCTTTTTACAAAAAAATACAGAAACGCATAATCACACATTGTGTGGCAATTTTGTATGAAGCGGATAACTTTTGGATCACGTGTCAACCATACTCGTCGTCTATATTAAACGTGAAACGAACTACTATTTTAAAACTGTATCGATTAAAAAAGAAGCGATATTTTTTATCATTTTATATTAATTTAATGTTTCTCTGAACACTTCTATTCCGAATCGGATAAACTGCGGGCAATTCGCGTGTCGTCCCCCACCGGTTCCACGCGTCAAACTTCCCCCACTCCCCCTTTCCGTTCTACTACCCCCACCCCTCCCGCCAACGCGACGGCAACAGGAGGGGTGTTGCCACAGTACCCCTTCTGGTGGAGATAGCCGCTATCCAATCACATCTGAGGTTTTCAAGTCAATATTTGTTACTTTATAACCGCCTGGCGTTTTGGCGTCTTTGTGATACGAAACGATCGGGTATAGTGGAGCGATAAATGCCGACGCACCGGCCGTCTCTTTCTAGTCGACGTCGGTCTCGTCGGACTAATATCTGTCCCACCAGAAAAATCCCACGTACACGTTCCAACAGCGGCGCAGCTGGTACGGGGGAGCCTGCGTCTCTTTGCAATCGTCCGAAATTGATTAAAAGCGAGCTGGTTTTCTCGGTCCCCCTGTAACTGCAGCTGGCGACGTAAAATTTGACAACTATCCTACAATAGGAACCTGCGAAGTGCGCTTGAAGAATCCATCTTCTCCTTTTTTCGTACTTCGCATTTAGACAATTCTAGTTCTACTTTATTATAATACGACCAAAAATATAGTGCATTTATTGCTTTAACGTTTCAAGTATTTTACAGTACCGTAGACCCGATGAGACCCATTCCAACAGACGTTTATTCTGCATAAATGGACCGTTTTAAATTTGATGCTGCGGTGGATTGTCGAATAAGTAGATGATATGTATCGTTCTTGACTTGACTGTAATGCTTCCAGTAAGTACGTAGTTATGTACCTGATTCTCGAGCTTTGATCCTGCGAGGCTGTTTTCACTGGATAGTTCCTAGGATAAGGTTAAGTAAAGTCTGTTCATAGATATGAGAAAGTGACTAACTGATACGAATTAAGGAAAGACCCGGGCAAGCTGTAAGAATGAAATATGGCCGAACAGGTCCGTACTTTGTTTACAATTTAATTACTTGCGGTTTTGTTAGGAAAGATACTAAACAATATTTATTTATTTATGTATGTATTTATGATTAAATCTAAAATAAAATTACAAATTATTTTTATTGCCTACTTAAATTACTTAAAATTATTCACATAATATATCAGTATCACGATCGCTATCATCGCCTGTTCTAATTATTATTTGTTCTATATTATTTGCAATATGGATATACGATTGTGCTTTGTGGAGGGATGTTAAAAACTTCGGTTTCTATAAGTTTGACGACATTGGAGTTAACACGGGTAAAAACATTGTTACATGTTCAATGGGATTAAATATACAGTGGAAGCCTTAAAACTGTACGCCATAGATTTTTTGAATAATTATCAGGTTCAAGCTTTGAAGAAACTCAATTAATTGCTTTTTGGTATAATCTTCGTGAAAATAAATGTCGTTATTATACATGTAGTTTTGGTTAGTTTGGTAAGTTATTCTTTTACCTCTTTTTGATGGCGCGTTTGTTTTACACTTATCAGTTGAGTCAACCCAACCCTTTTCCGGTGTTTTGATAAGTGTCGAACCAGGTTTCCTCCAAGTAAATAATTGGCCTTTGTTGTTCTCTGCAAATCCTCATTTTTTCTAGATATTGCAGTCGCCATTTCCGAATTCTAAAAACCCGTGTGTTGAATACACTTCCATAATGTAGTTCTGCCACATTTAACACCGGTTTCATCTTTCTCAAGCCTGCTAATTAAGATGGTAAGCTAATGTAGGCACGCTTTGTTCCTCGCATAAGTGGTAAATTTTACGGCGTATTATATCTTGACCACTTTCATCTACTCTCAAGAAAATGTCAGCATCGCTTCTTTTTTTCCTCGCTGAAATGAGATTATTCACAATTTTCCATACAGTTGATGTTGGAATTTTCGTCAATGTGGCCGTTTCTTCTAAAGATGCTTGCTTGCTGGCACCACGTTCAATGAGAGTCAAATAAACAATGTTTATAACTTCTTTAGTCTCAATAGAATAGTGTTTTCTACATTTGAGCGGGAGCATCTCCTGAGACACACTAGACTCGCACATATTTTGCATAATTCGCACAAGAATCAACACACAATCACAAAAGCAATATTGGTCACTTTCTTATATCTATGAACAGACCATACAGACTAACGATGCAACATCATCAGAGTGCCTCGTTTCGTAGATCTTTCACATTGAACGCAATTCGTGTTTATAATTTCTTTGTCACAGGAATTCAGTAACTTAAATTTATATTCATTTAAAAAAAGGTACAATGATCATTTGTTACAAATACAGTTTTCCTAATAATGTGTTATGTTATCAGCAAGGGATTATATTGAGTTATCAAGTTCTTTATCTTCAATTGCATTTTCTCTAGTGTGTAGTAGAATTATGTTGTTCTTCCGATTTTGGAGGTATTTTTCATATTTTATTTGTTGTTCATTCTTATTTCAATAAATAGTGTTCAATTTATTAATTATATAAATAGTTCCTTAGCGGTTCAGTAGAGTAGCTATTTAAGGCTAGACTGCGCCGCTTTGGAGCCATCTGTTTACTTTGTTTTGAAAAATATTAATATTGTATTTTTTTTTTGTTATAATAAAGGCACTAGACGTGCCGCCTTCACGGGGAAAATACATAATAATTCTTCATGCTGGGTCCAAAAATGGTTGAGTGGAAGATGTTTTATTTTCGTCTTCCAAAATCGTCGAAGATTCAAATGTGCATTACCACGAAAACATGACCACGGAAATATTTGAACTGCTGCCAAATACTGTCCTCGTTCAAAATAGGAAAATTCCAAATATTTCTTCAAATTAAGAAGGAATTAAAGAATTTCTGTAGGAAATTGATTTCTCCGCCACTCATCGTTCTTGATGAATATTTTCTTCTTTTATTACTAGTTTTTCACAGTTACACCAACTATAAGCTACAATCCTATAAGCTACTATTAAAATATAGTGGACCAGTCGGTGAGTAAAGTGACATTTATAATGTAAATTTACCACAGAAATTTTATATAAAATTCAGTAGCAACAAAACAAACTTGAAAGTTAGGACCTGCTTTTTCTTGCTTATCCGATATTAAAAATTTGATCCTCTTAAAAGCGCTTTCATTGCATAATTTTCCTTCCATTTACAGTCTGTCTTTTTCTTTAAACAAACTACGTAACGATCAACGGTAAAAGTGAAATAAACAACATAACGTTTTAAAATTGTGTTTATTCCGTTGTTTATATGATCTCTCTCTCTCTCTCTCTCTCTCTCTCTCTCTCTCTCTCTCTCTCTCTCTCTCTCTCTCTCTCTCTCTCTCTCTCTCTCTCTCTCTCTCTCTCTCTCTCTCTGTCTAACGTACACAGTTAAAGAGAGACAACAATAGCAGAACCGATCCGAAGGATAAACGAATTGGTTTAATGGTAACTAAGAAATATTTTATTTGAATGGTAAGAAATTTAGTAATCTGATAATCTGTTGTTATTTTTAATTTCGTGGCCAAACGCGTATACTGTATAAAGTGACCTTCACATCTCGTCGAACTTCAAAGTTAAGGCAAACTTCGTTAAATATTAATATTTGCACCGGTAATTGCAATGTAAAAATATATTTTTTTAATATCTCGCGTCCCCTGTATTATAGACGAAGCCTGAAACTCTCTCTCGACACAGTTAACGACAACGAAAACGGATATTTTTAGTATTTTATTGATATTTTTGCCCATAAACGACACACCCTGTATATGATTCAAACAATGTTCGAAATAGTCGGCATAGCCCTGGATCTCCCACTTTTCCTGGTATTTGATTTTTTTCAATGGAGTAAGTGGGTTTCAATAAAATACTTGCTTTCTGAAACCATGCAGCGCGTGGTAATAGCAAATGACATCATATAACACCGATTGATATTTTTTAGGAATTTTCAGTTTTTTGCAAATTACCGACGCACCCTGTACATTTTTAAAAAATCATCAAGAATACGGTCTTGGAGAAATGATTTTTTTCTCGGTACCCTGCAAGTGCGGTTTTTAAATTTTTAAAAATACTTCCCGACCCCCTAGCCCCCCCAGTTTCAATAGGCTTCGTTATGGTGTCAAATTTCAAGTGGATGGCTTCAAATTCCGGACACTTATCGTGTTTCATAGCAATGTTCAAAAATAAGTCCAAAATAGAAAAAAAAAGATGAACGCCGTTATTTGGTTTTTTTTTTTTATCGATTTTTCGAAAGTAACAAGTCTGAGTGCTCCCGGCCCCACCCCCTACCCGCGAAGCGCGAAAAAAACCGCCCCGCTGGAGCAAATCGGCTCGAGCGCGAGAGCGCATTGTTTAAATCATCTGTAAACATAATATCGGGCTAATTCCGTGAGTGGGGGGGGGGGGTTCCAATTTCCCCCGTCTCGAGAGTAATCGACTGCCACTTTAAGGAGCAACGAAAAAGAGAGACTTTCGCGCGCAGACGAAGAAAGAGAGCGTTATAGGGGAGGCTCGGTCTTCCGAAGGGGGCGTGTCTTTCGGGCGGGCCCGCCCCGCTACCCCTCGGCACCGACGTCAACCCGAACATTCGGCGGGGTTAGTTTGCCGACGTAGACGCGTGAACGTAACACACGGCGCGAGAGTAGTTTAATGCCCGTACCCACGTCGCGATTTTTTGCCGCCGCGAAACCGCCGTCGCGAAAATGAACGCGGCTAAGGATGAGATCGAGGTGAACGTGGTGTCGTCGCCGGAATCGGGCAGCCGGAACAGCACTCCGGAACCGGACCAAATAGTACGGGGTGGCTTTAAAGTGACGTCGTTTGTGAGCGGCGGCGCGGAAGAACAAACCACGGGCGATGACATGTCGAGGACGGCTCAAAAGTTGTCCGGAAGCTCGACCAATTTCTCGATATCGAGCATACTGTCGAGGACAGAGCCGCCTGCCAAGAAGCAGCACCACCACCATCACCCTCATCATCTGGACGCGGGGGGCCCAGTCGACGGTTCGGTGTTTTCGCGGTAAGGAGGCCGTTCTGGCGGTTTTTGTTTACGGCGCGCGAACCAAGATGGCCGACGAGGCGTCCGGTATAAAGTTTTGACGGAAACTCAGATACGCCAGATTCGTTCGTGTCGCCTTTTGGCGTATAAAATTTGAAATATACATTACCGACCATTCAATATGTTGAAGACAGCCGCAGTGGCGCTCGTAATTTTGAACGATAGATATCAGCCACGAAATAATAGGGCGTTACCATAATAATAATAATACGAGGGCTACCTTTTATATTTCGGGATTGGTAACGAAAAACTATAAGCTACCAACGAATACGACTAGTTTTCTTTTTTCTCTCCCACTCATATTGGCAGCTACTAACACTCCACCCACACACTTTTCGCTTCGAAATTTAAGAGTTTTATCTGGCGTCATTTTGTCAAAAATACCAGTTTCGTCAGCATTAAAAATGTCGTTAGCAGGGTACTTTTCTGCTAGTTTTGGCCACGTCTTCTCCAGCCAATTGTTAGTGACGTTTCGCCACTTATCTGTCCATAATTTGTACCATGTTTCTATTTGAACCTCCACAACCGTCCTTCCGGAACCATGAAATCGATAATGCCAAGCTGTTCAGCAAACTTTTCTGCCATTAGTTTGACAACATCGCCCGATCCGAATCTTCAAATTTTGGCTTTCTTAGTTTTTTACTAGAACTGCCTGCCGCTTCAGCCTGAATTATAAGGTTGTTCGGAAAGTCATTTCGTTTTTTCCCGTCAGAGGACTTAATTACGTTTTTTCGAAACCAACTTCACACTTAAGCCGCATAACCATTATATGTCTTGAGAGCTGATATTGCAAGGCTTGTGTGTGAAAAAGTTCTATTAATTCTACCCAGTAGTTTTTGGTTGGTGCCCTTTTAAATATGGAGAGCAATAAGCAGCATTTTCGTCATATTTTACTTTTTTACTTCAGAAAAGGTAAAAATGCTGTCCAAGCGAGAAAAAAATTGACGGACGTGTATGGAGAAGGCGTGTTAACAGTACGCCGGTGCCAGAACTGGTTTGCAAAATTTCGATCCGGCAATTTTGATGTCGAAGATGCACCACGGTCTGGAAGGCCGGTCGAAGCTGACAAAGATGCGATAAAGGCATTAGTTGATGCAAATCGGCGAATAACCACACGAGAGATCGGTGAGAGATTAAATTTGTCGAATTCGACTGTTTATGGCCATTTGAAAGGCATGGGCTTAACCTCGAAGCTCGATGTGTAGGTGCCCCATGTTCTTACGGAGCGAAATTTGTGTCGTCGCGTTGACGTGTGTGATTCGCTCCTCAAACGTCAAGAAAATGATCCATTTTTGAAGCGGATTATTACTGGGGACGAAAAATGGGTTGTATACAACAATGTTAAACGCAAGAGGTCATGGAACAGAAAAGATGAACCGGCTCAAAGCGTGTCAAAAGCCATCATTCACCAAAAAAAGGTGATGCTCTCCGTTTGGTGGGATGTCAAAGGAATCGTTTTTTTTGAGCTTTTGCCGGACAATACAACGATTAATTCAGAAGTCTATTGTCATCAACTGGACAAATTGAATGATTCACTTAAAGAGAAGAGGCCCGAATTAATCAACAGGAAGGGTGTAGTGTTCCACCACGATAATGCGAGACCTCACACAAGTTTGGTCACTCGCCAAAAACTTTTACAGCTTGAATGGGACGTACTGCAACATCCACCATATTCTCCAGATCTGGCGCCTTCCGACTACTATTTGTTCCGGTCCCTGCAAAATTTTTTGGATGGCAAAACCTTTACCTCAAATGAAGATGTCAAAAACCACCTGAACCAGTTTTTTGCCAGCAAGGACCAAAACTTTTATGAGAGGGGAATTATGTTACTGCCAGAAAGATGGCAAAAGGTGTTGGACCAGAATGGCCAATATATAATTTAATAAAATATTTATTCATTATACGAAAACTGTCTTTCATGTTCCCCAAAAAAAACGAAATGACTTTCCGAACAACCCAATATTTTTCTTTGCACTTCCAAATCGTCCGTATCGACGTCCCACATCACTTTTCTTTTCTCCCCGTTCTATAAGGTGCAGTAAAACAGGTACTCTTATTTTTTATTAAAAATTAAATAAATAATAATATCAAATGTTAGACATGGGGCTAAATATTCTACGGTTTTTTATTCCGAGAGGTTTTTCCAAAATTTGCGGACCCAAGATTCGAACGAACGGAAGATGAAATATGAAAGTTAGGTTGTTCCAGCCTCAAAGAAATCAACTTACGATCCCGGCCCAGTCAAAACAAACTAGAACACAAATGGAAAACACAAAGTTCCAAGTGCTGTTACGTCCGACGAGTGGAGAGAGTATTATAGGGAATATAGCTTCTTTCTGTCTTCCGAATTCTAACGGTTTTCTGCCCTGAGACTTATTTTTGTTGGTTAGTTAAGTTTCTATGGTCAGTGCTTATTTTTTGTCGGTAGAGAACCAGGGTATGTCCTTTTATGACCTCTCGAAGTGAAATTTTTGCTTTTGTGTAGTACTGATTTAAATCGATACTTAAAAACATAGTCTGAAATGAAAAGTCCTAATTAATGACTTTATAATGAGGCAAAACTCGGAAAAACGTCAACCAGCCGGAGAAGCAGGAAAATTTTAGCTATGAGCTTGAAAAGCTAACTAATATTATATCCTGAGTCGTGGCATAGCAAATCGAAGTAACTCTACCAACTTTCAACGAAATTCGTTGAAAGTTGCAATAGCGACAAACCAGCACACTTTATCATAATCAACCGGAACGAGCTAACAGATTGACGTGACTGTCAGAAGCAGATGTTTTCTAACGGCACAATGGACGTTCTGCCGGGGCAACCGTTGGAGGATATGTCAAATTATAGGACGAAAGTCTTTCGAATTCAACTATCCACTGTAAATTATTATGCACCGTTGATATAAATTAATTGATAATATCCACTCAACCTCTCGTTATTGATTGATTCGCGCTATTTCCAAAATATCGCAAAGCTTATTTTTAATATCTGGCATAAATTCGAAACCACAGCGTTTGTTCAAATAGTTCAAAACATCTAAACATTTTGTCTCACAGGTATGGAAGTTTTAAATGTTGAACTGAGGTGGCTTTTACTCGATGAAAATCCATTTAACAAAGTGAATTATAACTAAAAGTTCGGATTTTCACGAAATTATATATTTTTACATGACAATTGTTTCGACAACACCGTGTCTTTATCAAATGTAATATTTACAAACTACCTGCCACTATATATACCGAAAAATGACAATAAAACCTTAATTAATGTTTTTGTGAGGATTTATGTTTAATAATGGAGAGGTATTTAAGTCTAATTGATAGTTAAGCAATACAATTAATTGTCTCATTTTGTTAATCTTCATGGCTTCCAGTAAATTTAATTTTCTACTTTGGTGGCTGAATGTGAAATATCATTCTCTTTTCCAATGTATCAAACACGATCCTACCGAGTTATATCAAAGTTAAGGAAGTAATTACTAACTTAAATTAATTAAATTAGTAACAAGTAATTTTTAACAATTATGAATCCACAACCGCCGAAATTATATTCTTTAGTTAAACTACACAAACAAGATATGCCTATTAGACCAGTCGTGCCTTATGTAACGGCTCCAGCAGTAAAACTCTCAACAAAATTAGTAAATAAATAATAAATAATATATAAATAAAGTTTCACACAGATTTTAAACCAAAATTTGCAATGAAAAATTCTTTTGAATTAATCAACAAAATTAAAGATATCAAAGTGCCTTCTAACGCAACACTATTGCCTTTTGATGTACAAAACTTTCATGGATGTGATAGATTTAGTAGATTTCATCCTCACTCGGAAACAGGTTAACACATTGGTGAAACAAGATTTTTTAGATTGCTTAATAATATCTTTAGATCAAAATTATTTTGAATTTAATGGACAGATTTACATCTCTAAGGAAGGTTTGATTATGGGAAACGCACGTAGTCCTTTGTTAGCCGAGATTTTTATGGATAATTTGGAACATATACTAGAACATCCTTTAAGTAAAAATTTTCTATGGTGATATAGATACGTGGATGATTTCTTTGCTTGCTTTGTTGGAATAGACAGACAATTGAATTTTTTTTTAAATTACATTAACTCACTACATTATAAAATCGACTATCGAGATTGAACAGGAAAACTCTATTAATTTTTTAGACTTAACTATTACGAAAACGCAAAACAAATTAGATTTTTCTATTTATCATAAACCTTCACACACGGACACACTCATACATAAGAGCTCAAATCACCCTTATGCACACAAAATGGCTGCATTTCACTCTTTTATACACAAACTTCTTAATACAAATCACACTGAACAACGGCTACAATCCGTGCGAAAGCATATCCTATTGTTGTATTCTAATTATGAAAAAAAAAATGATAATGGAATTATTATTGACTAATTTGTAATGGAAAAAGTAATAAACATTTTGATGCCCTTATTAGCAATTAAGGACATTAACGATTCTAATTTAAACAAACATGTATTAGCGAATATAATAAACTCTCAATTAATAGATAACAACAAACACCAAGAAATTTCTCAAATGTCACTGGTAAAAACTATCAAAAACCAAGCTTCTGCAAATAAGATAATACTTACGCGTGCAGATAAAGGGAAGACAGTCATAGCTATCTATCTACCGGAATATATTTGAAAAACCAACAATTTTCTTAAACCAGAACTTTTCCAATGCATCAAACACGATCCTACCGAGTTATATCAAAGACAAGTCAAGAAAGTAATTACTAACTCCACACTATTTAGTGACAAAGACAAGTATTTTTTTACAATTATGGAGCCACAACCGCCGTGTCGTGTCTTATGTAACGGCTCCAGCAGTTAAACTCTCAACAAAATTAATAACACATATTTTAAACCAAAATTTGCAATAAAAAAATCTTTTGAATTAATCCACAAAATTAAAGATATCAAAATATTGTCATTTGATATACAAAACTTATTTCCCAGTATTGCACATATGGATGTGGTAGATTTAGTAGACTTCACCCTCACTAGGAAACAGGTCAACCCATTGGTGAAACAAGATTTATTAGATTGCTTAATAGTATCTTTAGACTAAAATTATTTTGAATTTAATGGACAGATTTACATCTCTAAGGAAGGTTTGATTATGGGAAACCCACTTAGTCCTTTGTTAGCCTAGATTATTATGGATAATTTGGAAAATATCATACTAGAACATCCTTTAAGTAAAAGTTTTCTATGCTGGTATAGATACGTGGATGATGCCTTTGCTTGCTTTGTTGGAACGGACAGATAATTGAATTCTTTTTTAAATTACATTAACTCATTACATAATCGTGTAAAATTCACTATCGAGATTGAACAGGATAACTCTATTTATTTTTTAGACTTTACTATTACGAAAACGCGAAACAAATTAGATTTTTCCATTTACCATAAACCTTCATACACGGACACAGTCATACATACCAGCTCAAATCACCCTTAAACACACAAAATGGCTGCATTTCACTTTTTTACACACAGACTTCTTAATACGCCACTCTCAACAGAAAATTACAACAAAGAATTTAGTATAATTAAACAAATTGCACTGAACAACGGCTACAATCCGTCCATTATCGATAAAATTATAAATAAAAAACAAATCCAGACAACAGTAAACTCTATTTATCCGAAACCTAATACGTAACACGAACAATTTAAAACAATTACATACATAGGAGAACCTAGTGAAAAAGTTTCAAAACATTTATCAAAATGTAGTTTAAAGGTAGCTTTCAGAACTAACAGCGCAACAGGAAAATTTTTAAAAAACAATAAGACGAAATGTCCAATATCTCAAAAATCAGGTGTCTAGGGGTTGAAATGCGGATCTTGTATTAAAATTTATATTTGACAACCAGGTAGATCCTTCAAGAAACGCATTAACGAACATAAAAGAGCGTTTAAAAACAATAGTCTAGATCAGGGGTCTCCAAACTACGGCCCGCGGGCCACATCCGGCCCGCGAACAGATTTTGTCCGGCCCGCGGAGAGCTTGTATACTTGAAAGAAAAATCTACTAGAGATTAGATGTTGTTTATAGCAAATAAATTTAGTTTACTGAAGTAATCTATTTTTACGTTGAATATTAATTAATATGACATCTACATTGATATGGTCATGGGCTAACTACTCATAACATTGTTGTAGGTTATTATATACTAACCAACAAATTATTGAAATGAATTCAACCAACATTTTATACATTTTAAATAAAAAAATAACTTATAACAAGCATAATGACATATGAAATTCTAATGAGATTTATGTAATTGTGATTTTCCACTGACAATAGTTTGTAGTTGTGGGCTAATTTTACTTGTACCAATTATTAAAAGAGATTTAAGATGCCCATCAGTCAATTTAGATCTGTAGACATTTTTTGTGTACTTCATTTTGGAAAAGGTCTTCTCACACAGATAAGTAGTACCAAAAACAGAAAACATTCCACGAGCAAATTTATGCAAAATTAACTTCCTTTTACATCATCAGCGGACTGATTCAACTTTTTATCACCGGCGACAATTAATGATAATATTGTTTTGGCCCTTAGAATTTCTTGGCGTGATCAATATGGCCCTAAGGCTGAAAAGTTTGGAGACCCCTGGTCTAGATACTAATTATGCTTCACACTTAAACACAGAAAAACTAGAATGATATTTTATATACAGCCACAAAAACTAGAAAATTAAATTTCTTGGAAGCCATGGATATTAACAAAATGAGACATTCAACAGATCAATCAGATTTAAATACTTCTCCATTATTAAACTTAAATACCGACAACAACATTAATTAAGGTTTCATTGTCATTTTTTTGGTATATATAGAAGCAGGTAGTTTGTAAATATAACATTTGACGAAGACACGTGTTGTCGAAGCAATTATCATGTAAACATTATATATATATATATATATATATATATATATATATATATATATATATATATATATATATATATATATATATATATATATATATATATATATATATATCCTCACGTATTGATTCACGGATGGAAAAATGTGATGACACTATATTCCGGGATATCATCCGTTCGCTCGTTGAACTCCGACTGGAATCCTGCTTCCGACTGGAATCCTGCAGACGTTTCGCCAAAATCTCACTTGGCATCTTCAATGCTCGCGCTCCGAAAACACTTCGAACACGTGTTCGAAGTGTTTTCGGAGCGCGAGCATTGAAGATGCCAAGTGAGATTTTGGCGAAACGTCTGCAGGATTCCAGTCGGAAGCAGGATTCCAGTCGGAGTTCAACGAGCGAACGGATGATATCCCGGAATATAGTGTCATCATATATATATATATATATATATATATATATATATATATATATATATATTATATATATATATATATATATATATATATATATATATATATATATATATATATATATATATATATATATATATATATATATATATATATATATATATATATATATATATATATATATATATATATATATATATATATATATATATATATATATATATATATATATATATATATATATATTATATATATATATATATATATATATATATATATATATATATATATATATATATATATATATATATATATATATATATATATATATATTATATATATATATATATATATATATATATATATATATATATATATATATATATATATATATATTATATATATATATATATATATATATATATATATATATATATATATATATATATATATATATATATATATATATATATTATATATATATATATATATATATATATATATATATATATTATATATATATATATATATATATATATATATATATATATATATATATATATATATATATATATATATATATATATATATATATATATATATATATATATATATATATATATATATATATATATATATATATTATATATATATATATATATATATATATATATATATATATATATATATATATATATATATATATATATATATATATATATATTATATATATATATATATATATATATATATATATATATATATATATATATATATATATATATATATATATATATATATATATATATATATATATATATATATATATATATATATATATATATATATATGTATATATGTATATAATTTCGTGAAAATCTGAACTTTTAGTTCTTATTTATTTTGACTGACGAAGTTGTTTAGCTGAAATGTTTTAAATAATCTTTGAGATGGTTGGCAACAAACCGATTGGTCTAAAATTCTACCCGACCCGAGTTTCATTGTCGTTGGCAGGTAACTTCCATAACTGCGGGCAAAAGCCAGCACGATAAAGATTGAGACAGACTACCTATTTAACCAATTTCATTTTCAGGAAAGCTTCCCGTTAATTTGTGGGTTCTCAGAATCCCTTCATGAATTCGGTATAAATAAATATAAAAAAAAGAATACAAAAAAACGTCGAAGAACAATAGAGTAAAATTCATTATCTCATTGCTTTTAAAAGTTAGGAGAAAATGGTAAATATAAAAGTTATAACGATTGGTGGGACGCACAATTTAAAATTATTTTAAAGTATACAGGGTGTCTCAAAAAAGCGCGACGAATGAAATATATATATTTTTTAATGGAACGTAATATTTTAAAATTTTGTTTTAAATTCCTTTTAAAATTTTTAAAAACTGATTGTCACATTTGCAAAAAAAATTACTATGGCGTCATTGTTTTTGAAGGTTGATCACCCGCATTTGATGTTAGTGTCACTCGAAGGCAAGCGGAATTTGAATGCTACAGCGTGGCCAATTTATTTGGATCATTAATTGAAAAATCTATATCGTATATCATAGTTGTTTCATGTTGTTTACGTGAAGATCGCAATCCGACGGGGCAATTATGCATTCCGACTTTCCAGAAAATACAGTGAAAAAAAAATTTTGTTGTACTATTAGGCCTCCTTACAAAGCTATGTATTCATCCACTCTGTATAACGAATTTATCGCTCTCTAAACCGAAAGAAAAAAGTGCACGTCAGGTAACAAAGTAAGGAATGTAGGCCGACTTGTAATTAATAGAGTCTCTCACCTTCTCAGAATTCCTTACCCTAATAATCTGATTACCGAGAACTTGGTCGTCCTAAGAATATTTCTCATAATTCAATGATCAAACGAACTTACCTGGTAAGTGAAGTTCGATCGTAATTATATGTTACACCTCTTCGTAGAAATCAATATACGTAGTCCCCCTTCTAGTCGCTAGGTGGCACCACAGCTTTAAAGCAGAGCCAAAAAACTGTGGAATAACTTACCATGGACGGTATATTCGCCATCTATGGTCTTAACCTCATTCTATTTTAAAGCCCGTTTATAATAAATTTGCCAAAGGGCATTTTAGTACTGTTCAGAACAGTAAATTGGGCGGGAATGGGTGATTTCTACGAAGAGGTGTAACATATAATTACGATCGAACTTCACTTACCAGGTAAGTTCGTTTGATCATTGAATTATATGTTACACCTCTTCTATGAAATCAATATACGTAGACTTTCAAAGGCAACTCAGCAAATTTGTTATAAAACGATTTTATTCGGCTATATAAGGAAATCCAGGAAGTTTATGAAAGCCTCGAGTACAAATACAAAATAAATGGCTATCCGAGAAAACAAACCTCCTGAAAAATTCTATGTCCCAAATGTGGCATTAACAAAAAGGCCTGCACTTGCTGTACAAATAGGTCTATTATAAAAAAGGGGAAAACATTTAGAGCATTCTCACCAATCTGCCGTTTTTCCAATCATATCAATTGAAACACCTTTACAAAACGCAGACGATGTTGAGGCATGTCGAGTTCTGTGAACAGTAAAAATAAAAGTGTAGACACCACTATCTTCTAAAGTTATCTTTATTCATCTACTTTTGTTGGGTATAGTTGCTGCCCTACAAGGCTTTTTAAATGTAATGAGTAAACGAGATTCACTGCCTCTTAAAGCACTGGCCCTCTCAATAATATATTTGAAACCACACAAAGATTTACATCTTCATATTTATGCAAAATTAAAAAACAGGTCGAGTCTTATTTATATCTGAAATCTTAATTTGATTCGTTATTGTAATTTCTAATCCATCTGGAAATGATTTTATGTTGACCAATTCTATAAGAGAGAGCGTTTGGACTCTATGTACAATCGTTAACTTCAGTAGGAGAAACTAATTTAATTGTTTTAATGACAGTTAATTGCTTTAATGACAAGTCATTAGAACGTAACCCTTTTACAAAGTCAGGGACATAACTAGGGCCCCAAGTGCTGTTATATCTTGGTTTACTTGGCCTTAGATTATAAACACCTTAAAAAACCTAGTTAGATTTGCATTGTTAAATAAATCTGATCCAAAAATAAGGCCGTGCTGCACTGAAAGAACTCAATGAGCCATAGGACTTGTCTTGTCTAAAATGAATAGTAAAGAAATCTAATACAGCCTAGGTGAGAAGTAATAACACTCCACTCCCCTCCTTTCGTAGAAGCTCCACCAAAGTTTAAATGCATGCAGGTAATAAATGCCTCAAGGTAGCGCTCTGAACAGATGATAGAAAAATATCCAGCAAATCTTCTGGAATGCTTGCCTCACAAAATCCCTGCAGCCAGGGTAAGGGATTTCCACAAAGGGTGACCTCTCCTGTCAAAAGAAGAAGGTAATTTGTCTGGAATTAGAAACAATAAATAACTACAACGCCTCCCATGAAAAAAAAAAGCAAACCAATGCTGGCTGTGCCCGTAAGGGATTACTGCGATCCCTGTAGCTCAATCAGCCTTGATTTTTCGTAAAACAAGTGGCAACAAGCAAAACGGGGGGAAAACATAGAAGAAACTGTCGCTCCAAAAAACACTAAACGCGTCTTCATTAGATGCCTCCGGATCTGGAAATTAAGAAATAAACTTTCCGCATTTCTTACTTAGGCGAGAAGCAAACAGTTCGATTTATGGGAATCCAAATTTGCTTGTTATTTTAGCAAAAGCATTGTCCGAAAGGTACCATTCACCATCAAAATTCAAATTCGTGGGTTCCTTATGCGCTTCAAAATTATCGGAAGATCGAATGTAAGATGCTTTAACCCATAACCTCCTTTCTTCACACCAACCCCAAGGCGCCTCGAAATTTCGTTTAAAACAGGAAATTTTACTCACCCTATTCTATTTACATACAAAATAGCAGTTGTGTTATCAATCCTCAAAAGTGTCTCGCAGTTAGTCAAATACGAGGCGAAGCATTAGAGACCAAATGAGGCCGCAGTTAATTCTAGTGCATTAATATGAAACTGAGCTTCCCTAGGACTCCAAAGTCCTCTGGCACAATTCCCCAACCCAAAGGAGTACCATCTGAGAAAATCTCAAGTTTGTAACATTGCTGCCTTACAGGGCATTCAGGATTCTGTAAACTTTTTAGCCATCACATAAAATCCCTCCGTAAATTACAAGGAATTATCATCCAAATATCATAATTATCGACAGAGTCTTGAAGGGCTAGATATTTGATTCTCTCAAAAATTCTTAGTATATACCCAACTGTAACAAACTGCTGGGCAAACTGAAAACTAGCACAGCACAAAGCTCGGCAAAGACTCTTATTTCGCAACGGTTCAAATTGCAAAACTTACTTACTCATCAGAAAAACAAGTGGTGGGATTCAAAAAAACAAAACCTAAAAATTTACGGGATTTCGAAGGATGTAAAACATTCTTATAATTAATAACATAACCCAACCTAATCAGTGTGTTGCAAGTTACTTGAACATTTTTTAAAGATAGCTAACTATCACCAAATAGTAAAGTTATCTAAATAAACTATTGAGGGAAAAGCCTTGGCAGGGAGATAAGAAACCACAGATTTCATTAATTCTGTAAAGGCCCACGGGGCGGTGCATAAACCAAAGGGTAACACGTTAAACTGATAACAGAGAGCATCAAAATAAAATCTTAGAAAATTCTTTTGATTTTCAATTATTGGGACTAGAAAGTAAGCTTCTTTCAAGTCCAGAGTGGTCATAAAGGACTTCCTTGTGAAGAGTGTTTCTACTAATTTTCTGTCTTCCAGTTTAAAATGACAAGTGTCAATAAAAGCATTCAGTTTCTTTAAATTTAAAACTAATCAAACCGAACCATCCAATTTTGAAACCAAAAAGATCTGTAAAATAAATTGATTCTTACAAGGTTCGCAAACTGCAATTGCACTTATCTCTAACAGGTGTTTGACCACATTACAAATTGAATCTTTTTCTTGTTGGGAACAAACAGGATCTGTCGTAATCAAGTCCTGTATAACTGGCCTCGCAAATGGAATTTTATATCCATCTAACCAAGGTAGAATCTGTGCATCTTGAGTTCTAGAGTTCCAAATGTCCCGAAACTCGTGCAATCTTTCAACAAAAGTACTTACTATTTTTTCCTGGGGACACAACTCCACCCCCTTTCCTCTCGAACCTTCCTGTATTCCCTCTTTTGAGGGTACAATGACTTTCACCCACTTCAGCCTTGCAACTTCCGGGAACGAAGTGGGACGGTCGAGTTTAAATTTGTATGCTATAAAAGTCTTGTTCCGGATGCACCTGACTTTAACTCGGCCACTAATCTGCAGCTAATCTGATTGATTTGAGCCTATCAGCCAAATCTTCTCCATATAAACAAGAGTGCAAAGAAGCATCAACGAGCACTTCCTTCATACAAGGCTGCATTTCATTTGAGACCAGCGAAAGGCTTAACGCGGCTGAACTTCTATATACTGAACCTAAATGGTGTATTTTGCTTAAAACAAATATTGCATTACTCAACATTTCGATGAGAAGTAAGTACTACTCATCCTTAACCGGTTTCAAAAGCAAGGTCAAGAGCGTCCTACCAACCACCATCAAAGCACCCCTTGTTGCAGTCAGTCTCTCATCCCTTTTCTTTCCACCTTTGTTGATGGCAGATTTCATCTGCACATTCAATTTAGGAGAGTTATTGAGCGGGCAATTCTTCGGCACAGGATATCAACGCAAAAGGTCACTGAGACAATCTTCGGACACACCGGATTTCAAAAAGGTATTAATCTGACTTGCCAAAATGTCATGACACATCAAACTTTGTGTTGGGACTATCGACCCCATAGCTTAAAGGCCATTTTGCTTTAAATCCGTCTCAAGGGGCTCAACAATGACATCAGAATTAATTGAAGGGCCTAAAAAATATACTTACGATGGAGTAAATGCATTCCAACAGCCATAAAAAATTGTTCATTATGTCCCAGTATCCCGGGCGCCTCATCCATAGCCGGACGAGCCAGAAAACTCTATTTTTTCGATGTCGAAAAAATATAAAACCATATGTATGGCCGACCCCCTCACAAAAGGATTGCTTCCAATTGTGAAACACTTACATACGACTGCTGTCGTATAAGTGGGAAAGATGGGGGGTCTTTCGAGTTCTGGGGATTCCGATCGGAACCCGGACGATGAAGAAATCGTCTCCCAATTGTAAGAAAATCTCGTTGATGGGAACCACGCCACTAGCGATTATGTAATCGCGGATGGAAAGATTTAATCTTTCGTCGTAGGTAGGTTCTTTCTTCATCCGATAAGGAATAACGTAAATCTCACTTGTACTTCTCCAATTAACTTCCAAAAACGCTGAAAAAAGCTGAAAACACCGACGCCGAATAAAAATGAACATGTGCCACCAAAGCACAAAAAGAGGAATGAGGTTAAGACCATAGATGGCGAATATACCGTCCATGGTAAGTTATTCCACAGTTTTTTGGCTCTGCTTTAAAGCTGTGGTGCCACCTAGCGACTAGAAGGGGGACTACGTATATTGATTTCATAGAAGAGGTGTAACATATAATATGCGATTATGTTAATGTCTTTATCAGTATGTATAAAAGCACACCATTGTTTCAATCAGTTCTAATTTGACTTTGTGAATACGGCGAGTAAGCGAAAATTTTTATTCTAGATAATAAATAAAGTTGCTTTTATTCGGAATATAGAACGGGGGGACAAGAAAGGTGATGTGGGACATCGATACGGACTTACACCTTCGACTGTATCCACGATTTAGAAGTGCAAAGAAAAAATCATTGGGGCTGAAGCGGCTCAGTTCTAGTGAAAACTAAGAAAGCCAAAATTTGAAGATTTGGATCGGGCAATGTTGCAATGGTTCAAATATCAACGTCTTAAAATCTGAAAGCAGAAAAGATTGCTGAACACTTTGGCATTATCGATATCAAAGCTTTGGAAGGATGGTTGGGGAAGTTCAAACAGAGACATGGTATAAAATATGGACAGATAAGTGGCGAAGCCTGTGATGTCAGGAGAAACGTCACTAACGATTGGCCGGAGAAGACGTGGCCAAAACTAGCAAAAAAGTACCCTGCTGACGACATTTTTAATGCTGACGAAAACTGGTATTTTTTACAAAATAACGTCAGATAAAACTCTTAAATTTCGAAGCGAAAGGTGTATGGGGGAGGGTGCTTGTGATTGAATGAAATACATCCCACCCTTTTCATATGTAATTTTGAATTTTTCCAGGCATTTTAATCATCAAGAATGCTAGTCGTAATTGGAAAATCAACTAACCCACGATGTTTTAAGAACATCAAGCATTTGCCGGTCACTCACAAGGCAAACAAGTCTGCATGGATGACATTGCAAATTTTTGAATCGGAAATACGGAAACTGTCCTGCACATTCCCATACTCCAAATCTACGGAACATTGAATTGGCATTGCTTCCAGCCAAACCAACAGGTGTATTACAGAGGATGGACCAGCTCGTAATAAAAAGTCTTAAGAGTTGATACAGGAAAAACATTTTAATGGAAATGATCGAGTCCGAAGACAAATTTTCCATTGATATGCTAGATGCGGTCAACTTTATCAGTAAAGCTTGGAAAGAGGTGGCAGCAGAAACAATTCAACACTCCTATCGTCATGCAGGACTTGGACAGGACTTGGAAGATGATCAGCCACTAAGCGAGTGGATAAAGCAGTTTCAAACAACAATTACGTTTACTTGACAGAGGAAGCCATATTACAACAAACAAGAAATGGTGATAAAGAGCACCAAGAGGAAGAAGAAAATGAAGAAGTTGATCTGGGACCACCACCAACCATTCAACGGGTCCTGTATTCAGTTAAGCTGCTAGAGAACTTTTTTATGTATCGTTAACTGTACTTCTTAAATATTTATATAAAATGTTCCTAGGTAGATGTTAATGCGTATTGTTATTTGACTGTACGTGAAAAACTGTGAGAATCGTAACTGGTAGAAATAACTGCGACATCCCCAATTTGTTTACATCCAAAAGTGCAATAGCGACACAGACCTGTATATAAATAAATAAACAAGCGTCCTTAGAAGCCCCTACGTTAGGGGCGAGAAAAAAAAACATCATTGCCCCGAGATTTTTCGCGAAATGAAATCGAAGGTACGCTGCGGATCCGGGGGGAACGGGGGAAGCACTTAACGGATGCTTAGAGAGGGGGTAAGCTTCTTAGGGAATAATAACGAAGTCCAAAGCCTTGTGCGCTTCCGTTCGGGAACTTTTGAGGCGGAACACTTAAAGCTAATGCAAATTTAATGGCAGTTAGTCTCAGTTTGGTGCTGGGGCGGGGTCGGATCGCTGATAAAACGAGATTGAATATCGATCGAAGAAGCCGACTAATCGGAAACCCAAAAAAGCTACGTATCAAAGTTATGTTTTCTTTTATGGGACACCCTGTATTTTTTATATATTGCTGACGTTTCGCCAATCAGGCTGCTTCAGAGCTTAAACTGTTAATATATCTTAGTAGGCTGCGAAAACAAAAATTGAAGTCTTGCGTCAAATAGTTTTTTGTTGACAGCATTTTAAGGAAGACGTGTCCGAAAAAATGTCGCAAATAACGCAAATTGAGTATAGAGCAGTCATAAAGTTTTTGACAAAAGAAGGGTTAGCACCTAAAATTATTAAAGAAATGCTGGATGGTATGTACAGCCAAAGTTCTCCTTTGTATTCTGTAGTGAAAGAATGAGCAAAAGCTTTTCGAATGCGGCAGGAGTAGTTCGAAGATGATTCAAGAACTGGTCGACCAGTGGAAGTCATAACGGAAGATATTGTAGCGATTGTGGAAGAGGTGGTATTGAGTGATCCACATTTAAAGGTCAAGGAAATCTCAGAAATTACTAAGCTTTCTGATACAAGTGCATGATCATTTAGGTATGCATAAGGTTAGTGCAAGATGGGTTCCTAAAAACCTTTCGGCTATGTGTGCGCGGTCTTTTTTGGAACTCTGTGGGTCGGAACCGAAGCCCGTGATAGAAACTATTGTGAGAGGAGATGAAACTATGGTTCTCTATTATGATCCTCTATCGAAAAAAGAATCAATGGAGTGGCGTCACTAGGGAGAAGCACCTCCAAGAAAATTAAGAAAATTCACAGTCTGCCAGTCAACAAAAAAGGTGATGGCCAGGATCTTTTGGGATTGTGAAGGAATTTTTTGATAGATTTTAAAGGCAAATATTACGCAAAATAGTAAATACGTGTAAAACGTCCAGGAAAACTAACCAGAGGCGTGCGTCTTTTGCGCGATAATGCACCTGTCTGCTGGTGTTGGTGTTGCATAAGCTGCCATTTTAGAGTGTGGGTTCCAACAGATAGACCATCCTCCCTATAGTCCAGATATGACCCCCAGCGACTATTATTTGTTTGGATATTTGAAAAAGGTCTTACGTGAGCGGCGGTTATTTTTTTAAAGGGATCGAGTTGTTAATAAAGAAATGTAGTAATAAGTGTATTGAAATTAAGGGGGATTATATTGAAAAATAATAAAAAATTGTTACTCTACTTTGTTTCTTTCATATCTTCCATTGTTCCTGGTTAGTAAACACGTACTTCTTTAATGATGAGTAGAAAACAATCAAAACCTGACGTTTCGCCATTGATCCTGTTGGCTTTTGCAGACCTTAACTGAAACTGAAAAAAAAAGGAACTACAAAGACAACTTAGCGACAACAAGCTTGATCTTTGAAAACATTACGGGCACTAGAAAGAAGCATAACAGTTAAATATGATTGCGGTATCAGGAACTCTTTTAATCCGATCCTGCTGCAAATTGAACCTTGAGGTATGGCGAGTAGCCGGGCGTGCTTACAAAGTTGCCTCATTTGTTTCAGATTGGGGATAATGTCACACTTCGGTGCCTTGGCGGCGGCTTCCAGTAGATACGCGGCACTTTGCGGTGGGGCTACAGATCCGAGAACTTTGCCCTGGTATTGGGGAAGATTATCGGGTCAGATGTCCCAGGAAAAACACGGCTCTTCAGGTTAGTATATTCGATTACGTTTCTGTGTTAAAAATATTTTAAGAAAACTTAAAGACGAAACTGAATTTTTTTTTCAAAATAACAAATAAATAAAATAAAAACGGCTTTATTTTGAGCACGGCGAAAGTCAGCTGATATCCAAATATCTCACGCACGCTGTTTGATAGACGAAACCTGATACTCGATACAGATTACGATACCATTTAAACCAAATTATCCCATGTTTTATAGTTTTTCATTTGCCGCTAATATTTTATTCACGAAGACGGCATTTTTTTCGGGGTCTTTTAGGTATTTTTACCCGAAATCGGCACACCCTGTACATAATTGAAAAAATATTCATATTCATATTCCACTCAAAAGTGTCATACGAAAGCACCTTCAAATAAACAAACTGCTTGCTCTTGTCTGCAAGAATGTTAAGGATTTGGTCTCAAAACGATCATCGCCAACTTTTTCCGTATTGCCTAATCACCTAATCACCCCCACCCCCCCAAAACGCCGATCGAATCAAAGCAAAAAAAACCATTAGGCACGAAACGCAGAAACCTGACGCCACTGGGGAAAAAGTATGATTTGGGGGGCGTAGGTGGTTGGGGGGGGGGGGGGGGGGGCAATAGTCCCGCGTAATCCGAAACCTCAAATCCGCGTCCGGAACGAATTAGGGACACGGTTATTTTTATTGTTCGATAAAAATTCGTTTACAGCGTTTTCTTCAAGGGTGTCTGTCGTAGTCCCCCCTCGACCCCCTTCGGACCCCTCATTTTGTACAGCTTCTTCGTGTCGCCGATTAAAGGAGGCGAGAAATGGGAGGGGGCACGCGGGGGGCTTCGCGCGAAACCATTTTAATACTATTTAAAAGACGCTCTCGGATATAATACCAAATCTTTCGCGCCGGCACGAGGGCGGGGGAGGAGGACGGAAAATAAATCTCGTCGAATATATCCCCGAAGCCCTTAAATTGGGCCGCGAAATTTGATACGCGCATATGCGTAACGGGGAGGTGAAGGGGTATATACAGGGTGGTCTAAATTTGGCAACGTGGCTGTGAGTAGAGATACTACACACTCTTAAAAAAACTTAAAATTTTTTTAGATCACCCATATGTTTTCTAATTTTCTAATTTCTAACAATTCTAAGTTTTTGGTTAAGGTAAGTTGTCTTGCAAAGAATGGCTGAACGTTAAAGAAAACTGGGCCTGCATTAGGTCAGGGTAATGTGAGTTGTATGGTGGGCGAACAAAAAACGAAAATTTTCCGGATCCCACTGCTGATCTATCACGAAAACGTCTGAATTTCACAATCGCTCGGTTTACCTCGTGAAGTTTCGAAACGCATTAACGAACATAAAAGGCGTTTAAAAACAATAGTCTTGAAAGTCAGAAAAACACATTTTTGACGACAATTTTGATATTTTACATACAGCCACAAAAAGTAGAAAATTAAATTTATTGGAAGCCGTGGAGATTAACAAAATAAGACTTTCAATTGTATTGCCTAACGATCAAATCTGTTTTATTGAACTTAAATTCTCACAACATTAATTAAAGTTTTATTGTCATTTTACAGTATATATAGTAGCACGTAGATAGTAAATATAGTGCGGTCGAAACAATTGTCATGTGAAAATATATAATTTCGTGAAAATCTCAACTATTAGTTCCTATGTATTTTGTTAAATGCATTTTCAGCAAGTAAAAGCCACCTTAGTTCAATATTATTTTTGATCGTAGATCATTGATATCGGTTATAGATTAATACCTTGGATAAACTCAAAAAAACTGGTATTTTTTACAAAATGACGTCAGATAAAGCTCTTAACTTTCGAAGCGAAAAGTGTGTGGGTGAAAAACTTTCTAAAGAACGTATAACAGTGTTAGTAGCTGCCAATATGAGTGGGAGAGAAAAAAGAAAGCTAGTCGTAATTGGAAAATTAACTAACCCACGATGTATTTATTAAGAACATCACTTACAAGGAAAACAAGTCTGCATGGATGACATCGCAAATTTTTGAAGCGGAGATATGGAAATGGCATGCAGGTTTAAAGAGGAGGAAAATATTACTTCTCTTAGATAACTGCCCTGCAAATCCCCATATTCCAAATCTACGGAATATTGAATTAGCATTTCTTCCACCCAAAACAACAAATGTATTGCAGCCGATGGACCACAGCATAATAAAAAGTCTTAAGAGTCGATACAGGAAAAACATTTTAATGGAAATGATCGAGTCCGAAGACAAATTTTCCATTAATATGCTAGATGCGGTCAACTTTATTAGTAAAGCTTGGAAAGAGGTGACAGCAGAAACCGCCAAAACTCTTATCGTCATACAGGACTGCGAAATGGACTTGGAAGAGCCACTAAGCGAGTGGATAAAGCAGTTTCAAACAACAATTACGTTTTCAAGTGAGGAGTTGCAAGATTTTATGGTGATAGATCAGGATTTGCCTACAACAGCAGACTTGACAGAGGAAGCCGTATTACAACAAGCAAGAAAGGGTGAGGAAGAACACCAAGAGGAAGAAGAAGATGTAAAAGTTGATCTGGGGCCACCACCAACCATTCAACAAGCCCTATGTATGTATCATGGGGAAGATGCCCTTCTTGAAGAAATGGTGAAAATACAAGCCAAAGTACAAGATGCGTATTTGAAACATTAAATGTTAATATAAAATGTTCCTAAATATATGTTAAAATATGTATATAAAATAATTAAATATTACAGAACACATATGCGTATTGTGCCCATAAATCTTTACAACAAAAAAAAAGCGGTCCCTTCAATTTCGCTATATACAGTTTCGACTGTATTTAATACCATTGTTGTTTCTTAGCGACCAAAAAAAATATATATATAATTACCAAAACCTTTAAGAGTGCATCCCTAATGTTCTGTCAGGACCCGAGTTTCATTGCAAGTATTTAAATAGCTGAATCTACATGAAAAAATTGCAAAAATGCAATAAAAATTAAAATATTGCATAAAAATCCTTTTTTCTCCATTATCTTCTTTTTTTTTTATTAGAGTTAATGTTTATGATAGGGTTAATACTTTACATATTATATATTATTAATACTTTATATTACGTATATTATTGCATTAGGGTTGTTACGGTCAATACCGAATGTTTACGGATTTACGCCCATTTTTTGTGCTTATCACTCCATATTTTTGGCACCATTTACGACAGTTAGTTCGAATCGTTTATACAGGGTGAGTCAAAATGGGTTGTTCAACCAGAATGTACGTTTTTTAATTAATGAAAATTATTTTGCCTGCAGATTGTACGACGGGCGAGGACCAGTCCCCGCCCCCCTCGCCAGGGGGCTTGAACGCCCGCCCCACGTCAGCGGGACACAACACCAACGACACCAGGACGTCTCGGCCGTCGTCACCAACGGACCTGGTGAGATCGACCACCAGTTCTCCTACACCGTTGATGACGTCGACGCATCATCCGGCTTACATGGACCAAAACTACCCACGCTCGAAGAGCCCTTCGTATCGGGAGTCCGATCACATGGTGATAGACGAAGAGATGGACGAAGACGAGAGCGACTACGACAACGACAAAGAGAAGAAGGTGCAAGAGCCCAGCATGAGCCCGGGCAGTTCTATGTCGAACAAGAGGAAAAAGAAGACGAGGACGGTGTTCTCGAGATCGCAAGTCTTCCAGCTGGAGTCGACATTCGACATGAAACGGTAAGACATATTAATTATATTAATTATTATATCTTGATCATGTTCATCTACACTCGAGAAAATGTCAGCATCGCTTCTTCTTTTCCTAGCTGAAATGGGATTATTCACAATTTTCCATACAGTTGATGTTGGAATTTTCGTCAATGTGGCCTTTTCTTCTAAAGATGCTTGCTTGCTGGCACCATGTTCAATGACAGTCAACTAAACATTGTTTATAACTTCCTTAGTCTCAATAGAATAGTCTTTTCTACATTTGGGAGGGAGCATCCCCTGAGATACACTAGACTCGCACATATTTTGCATAATTCGCACACGATTCAACACACGCTGTATTGTACACGAAATAAGAATGATTACTAATTAACTCAAACTAAGTAGCATACCAAACCAAAGAATATTAAACACAGGTAGGTATAAAATTATTTTCCATTACGGACCACAATTTTACCTGAATTTAAATTCCGAAACTTTAGGTTATAATCTTGTTGCATTCTATGTTAATGACCACCCTTGGATAATCCCATTCAAAAGCAATTGGTGACTTTCCAATATTTATGAATGCTTAGTATAATATTAACTAAAAAAAAACTTGCATAAAAACCGGCACGATGAAAATTACGCTCTGGAGCGAAAATTTAAACCAAACGGTCGCCGCAGCAGTTCCCTTTTCGTGGTTTCAAAGGTGTTTATTAGACCCTCCATTACGTCGTTACCAAACGAACGCTGGCACCGAACATCTGATCAGCTATTCCGAGGGACTTCCCGATATTAGCCACCTCCCCTCTCCCTTGTCGTCCCGGGCGATTCCACGCCCTTAACCCAAAGTATGTTTTTACGCATGTCGATCCCGTTCCTCCCAGGTAAGCAACAAGCGACCCCCCCCCCCAATACACACTCTTCGCCGATTCAATAATCGATACGTTTTTGTAGCAGCAGGCGGTACTGATCTTTCACGCCCTTTCGACGCCGTGTTTGCTTTACGAAAGAACCCTTGACATTGGCTTCTATTATTATAGCTTCCAGTTTAGAGAGATATCATCTGCAGAGTGAAAACCGCATCGTAGGACCGGGTATCCGTGTGAGGGCATCAGGGAAACCGACGTTGTTAAGTAAAAGAATTGCTTAAAACATAGAAAATTAAATTTATTGGAAGCCATGGAGATTAACAAAATGAGACATTCAAATGTGTTGCTTAACGATCAATTAGATTTAAGTGCCTCTCCTTTATTGAACTTAAATTCTCACAAAAAATTAATTAAGGTTTTATTGTGATTTTTCGGTATATATAGTAGCAGGTATGGTCTGTTCATAGATATAAGAAATTGACCAATTGCTCTTGAATGGGATTATTCAAGGGTGGTCATTAACACACAATGCAACAAGATTATTACCTAAAGTTTCGGAATTTAAATTCAGTTAAAATTGTGGTCCGTAATAGAAAATAATTTTATACCTATTTGTGTTTAATATTCTTTGGTTAGTTAGTTTAAGTTTATTAGTAACCATTCTTATTGTGTGTGTAATACAGAGTGTGTGTATCTTAGGAGATGCTCCCGCCCAATTGTAGAGAACACTATTCTATTGAGACTAAGGAAGTGCCAGCAAGCAAGCGTCTTTAGAAGAAACGGCCACGTTGACGAAAATTCCAACATCAACTGTATGCAAAATTGTGAATAATCCCATTTCAGCGAGGAAAAAAAGAAGCGATACGGCGTAAAATTTACCACATACACGAGGAACAAAGCGTGCCTACATTAGATATATTAATTAGGAGGCTTGAAAAAGATGAAACCGGTGTTAAATCTGGCAGAACTACCTTATGGAAGTGTATTCAACACATGGGTTTTAGATTTAAAAAAATTGACAAAAGGCAAGATTTAATGGAATCTTCTAGAATTCGTAAATGGCGACTGGAATATCTAGAAAAAATTAGGATTTACAGAGAACAACAAAGGCCAATTATTTATTTGGATGAAACCTAGTTCAACACTTATGATACCCCGGAAAGAGTTGGTTTGACTGATAAGTGTAAAACAAACGCGCCATCAAAAAGAGGTAAAAGAATAACTATTTTGCATGCTGGCTCTAAAGATAGTTAGATTCCAAATGGACCTTCTCTGTCTGCGAAAAATATTAAAGATTCTTCTCTGGATTACCATGAAGACATCACCGCTGATTTATTTGAAAGTTGGTTTAAAAACAAAATATAAGGTTGTTCGGAAAGTCATTTCGTTTTTTCCCGTCAGGGGACTTAATTGCGTTTTTTCGAAACCAACTTCACACTTAAGCCGCATAACCATTATATGCCTTCAGAGCTGATATTGCAAGGCTTGTGTGTGAAAAAGTTCTATTAATTCTACGCAGTAGTTTTTGGTTGGTGCCCTTTTAAATATGGAGAGCAATAAGCAGCATTTTCGTCATATTTTATTTTTTACTTCAGAAAAGGTAAAAATGCTGTCCAAACGAGAAAGAAATTGACGGATGTGTATGGAGAAGGCGTGTTAACGGTACGCCAGTGCCAGAACTGGTTTGCCAAATTTCGATCCGGCAAGATGCACCACGGTCTGGAATTCCGGTCGAAGCTGACAAAGATGCGATAAAGGCATTAGTTGATGCATATCGGCGAATAACCACACGAGAGATCGGTGAGAGATTAAATTTGTTGCTCGATGTGTGGGTGCCCCATGTCCTTACGGAGCGAAATTTGTGTCGTCGCGTTGACGTGTGTGATTCGCTCCTCAAACGTCAAGAAAATGATCCATTTTTGAAGCGGATTATTACTGGGGACGAAAAATGGGTTGTATACAACAATGTTAAACGCAAGAGGTCATGGAGCAGAAAAGATGAACCGGCTCAAAGCGTGTCAAAAGCCAACATTCACCAAAAAAAGGTGATGCTCTCCGTTTGGTGGGATGTCAAAGGAATCGTTTTTTTTGAGCTTTTGCCGGACAATACAACGATTAATTCAGAAGTCTATTGTCATCAACTGGACAAATTGAATGATTCACTTAAAGAGAAGAGGCCCGAATTAATCAACAGGAAGGGTGTAGTGTTCCACCACGATAATGCGAGACCTCACACAAGTTTGGTCACTCGTCAAAAACTTTTACAGCTTGAATGGGACGTACTGCAACATCCACCATATTCTCCAGATCTGGCGCCTTCCGACTACTATTTGTTCCGGTCCCTGCAAAATTTTCTGGATGGCAAAACCTTTACCTCAAATGAAGATGTCAAAAACCACCTGAACCAGTTTTTTGCCAGCAAGGACCAAAACTTTATTGAGAGGGGAATTATGTTACTGCCAGAAAGATGGCAAAAGGTGTTGGATCAGAACGGCCAATATATAATTTAATAAAATATTTATTCATTATACGAAAACTGTCTTTCATGTTCCCCAAAAAAAACGAAATGACTTTCCGAACAACCCAATAGTTCCAAACATTCCTCCTAATAGCGTCATTGTAATGGACAATCACAGTATCACAGTAGACAGTTGACTAAAACCCATTCCTCATGTGACACAAAAGCAACAATCCAAAACTACATGTATAATAATGACATTTATTTTCACGAAGATTACACCAAAAAGCAATTAATTGAGGTTCTACAAAGCTTGAACCTACAAAAGGAATACGTCTGTGATAATTATGCAAAAAATCTAGGGCATACAGTTTTAAGGCTTCCACCTTGCCACTGTATATTTAATCCCATTGAACATGTTTGGCACCAACTGAAATTTGCCATTCGCTGTAACAATGTTTTTCCCCGTGTTAACTCCAATGTCTTCAAATTTATAGAAACCGAAGTTTTTAATATCCCTCCACAAAGTTGGGCAAATTCTGTTAAACATATAGAAAAAGCAGAAAAATCGTATATCTATATTGCAAATAATATAGAACCAATATTAATTAGAACAGGCGATGATAGCGATAGTGATACTGATATATTATGTGAATAATTTTAAGTAATTTAAGTAGGTAATAAAAATAATTTCGGTGCGTAATTAGGTATTTTACAGACGGGAGTAGAAAAAGTTTTATCGACAATGTTTCTAGTTTCCTTGGAGTGCGTAGTCCTAACTCGAAAACTCCCTAAATTCATTTCCAGGTACCTGTCTTCGTCGGAAAGGGCGGGCCTAGCTGCTAGTCTCCACCTCACCGAGACCCAGGTGAAGATCTGGTTCCAGAACCGACGCAACAAGTGGAAACGTCAACTAGCCGCGGAGTTGGAGGCCGCCAACATGGCGCACGCTGCCCAAAGACTCGTCCGGGTGCCCATATTGTACCACGAGTCGAACGTCAGACACCCGTTCGAGCAGAGCCACGCGGCTGCGTTAGGCCTGCACCACACCGGGCTGGAAAACAGAGACGGCGGCGGCGCGGCGAGCGCCAACTCATCCGTCGTGACGTCAGCAGCGTACCCGAGTTCGCTCTACTACCACCAGGCGGCGGTAGCGGCGGCGGTCCACAATTTACCTTCGAGTCCTGTGAACAGGCCGCCAATGTCCGGCCTAGTCTGAGACTCGTAGTTAGGTGGCGCCCTCCGGCGTCTGTTTTAAACGCGAAACGGGTTTGTGCAAAGCCGTGACGTCACGCGCTTCCTGTACATATTTTTGTATTTGTATATTTTGTCGTGAGTCCGCCAGTCGTTGCGATTGCGGGATACGAGTGCTATATTATTCTTACAATCTCCGGCCATTCCTAAAGAAATTTAATCTCTTGAGGTTTTTCTACCCGATATACCGTTCTGGTATAAAAAAATAAAAACTTCTGGCCTGCATAGTCATAACAACATCGTTAAAATGACACCATGCAGAGGATTATTATCTGTTTTACTAAAATACTTCAAAAGCACGTAAACTCTGAGTCGTATTTTTGAAATCTTTATAATTATTTTAAATATTGTAGAAGGCGGTGTGTGGCTTATGGCAATGATCCGGAAGCTAATCGATTATATCAAGAGCGCTTTCCGAATGGAGTCATACGATACAAGCGAACATTTTAAAATGTACACCGTGTGCCAAATAAAACGACCCGCTATCCGATCTGGAAACCCATAGTTTCAAACAAAAGTTTCTCGGACGCTCCTGAAGGTTTAAAATATTATAATTTTGCTGATATAGGGTATCCCAAAAGTGTCCCCTCCGAAATCAACTTTTTTATTTTAAATGGAACACCCTGTATATGTGGTTTGAAATCCTTGGTTAAAAAATCCCTTTCTTGAGAAATTCCTATTCGAATTTCGCATTGTTTAGGCAGAAATTAAGGTTATTTGTTTTTTTTTTTTCGATATTTTGATTTCCTCATATGAAAATTCAACCACAGACTACTCAATCAGTTTGACAGATGCGCCTTAAACTATACACGGTGTCGTAAATATTGGGTGCAGTTTTGGCGAATTCAATTAACAAAATCTCAAGATTTTCAAATGGAACACACCATATTTTTATTCAGATATCAATTCTAGGATAAAAAATAAGGTAGGTTTGAAATTTATCTTATATTTAAATTTTCTTACTTCTTGAGATATTTGGGGTTTAAGGTAGCACCCGTATAGATTCTTGTTGAATTTAAAGCTGCCCACGTTAGGGCAGTTATTGGCAATTTTTGGGTATTTTTTAAATAGCAAATGCATGATACTACTTCTTTTAAAAATATAGTAATCCGGATATACAAATAAAACCCATTGTAGTTGACTATAACATCACAATGTTTTTTTTGACGCACTAAATTATAAACAAACTTTGACATTTCCGTTTGTTTTTATTGTTTTTCATATTTCTATTTAAAAAGTTCATGATTGTCAAGTTTTTTGTTAGTATATACGAGGGCGGCGCCAAAATTTCCCGGCCTGAATATGAAAGACACAAAGTAGAGTAACATTTTTTTATTATTTTTCAATTAACTTCAATTACATCTCTTTATTAACAACTATGGATAGGTGCATTATCGAGCAAAAGACCCACACCTCTGCTCAGTTTTCCTCGACGTTTTACACGTACGCAGTTTCGCAATTTATGTAATAATGTTGCGTAATATTTACCATTAGTATTAGTTTCTTTAAAATCTATCAAAAGAATTCCTTCACAATCCGAAGAGATCGTGGCCATCACCTCTTTTGTTGACTGGCAAACTCCGAATTATCTTGGAAGTGCTTCACCCTTAAGACACCACTCCATTGATTCTTTTTTCGATAGGTCATAATAGAAAACCATAGTTTCATCTCCCGTCACAATAGTTTCCATCACAGGCTTCGGTTCCGACAAGCAGAGTTCCAAAAAAAACCGCGCACACTCGACACGGCGTTGTTTTTGAATAGCCGAAAGGTTTTCAGTCACAGCACGCTTTTATATTGGGCAATAGAAAACATATAACCTCAATTTCTGCCTAAACTACGCAAAATTCGATCTTCAGGAGAGTCCAAGAAACTTTTGAACTAAATACGGTGTACATAGAAGGTTGACTCAAACATGTACTTTGAGGGCAAAAAATCATTTCAAAGGGACCGATAGTACTGTATAAACTCCCTAAATTCAAGAAGCAGTTTTAAATTCTATTGACGAAAATCCTGAACTTACTACTGGAAAAATTGAAAATAATCTGAATATCTCATACTTCTTGGTTTGGACAATTTTGCACGACTTTCTATTGGACCCATATCGTATTCACCGAATCCTAGCGTTATTTCCAGAATTATTTTTGGACAAAATTGCGCATTATCCTGGTTTGATCAAGAAATACTATTTACAGATACAGAAATGCAATCAGAAATTTCTACAATAACCACAGTTGGGCAGATGATTTTATTTTAAAATTTAAACGTCAATTGGATCTTTTTCTGCCAGAAAGGCTAAATCGCCATAATTATCGGCGGTTTTTGCCAATATTGCTAGAAGAACTACCATATTTAATTAGAGGAAGAGAGGGAAAAAAAGCTGAAGCGTGTATCCTTTAAGGTGGAGGACACTTCCGCAACTCATTTTTTTTTTCAAAGAAACTTCCCCAGGCTACCTTAATACTTTTGACAAAACTTCTGGATTCTTCCTGCGTCGGTTTTTGCTGAGTCGAACTTCCTGACGTTGGCTTCTTCAGGGCTTGAATGGAACTGGCTGGTATTTTTCTCCGTACCTGCTTATATATTGTTTGAGGGGGGCGGAGCTAAATGAGGTCTCTACCTGTCACCAATATCGGAATCGGGCATCCGAGACGGTGTTTATGCCACTCATTTAGCTCCGCCCCCCTCAAACAATATATAAGCAGGTACAGAGTATAATACGAGCCAGTTTCAGTCAAGCTCTGAAGAGGCCAACAGGATGATCGGCGAGCAGCGTCGAGACGAAAACCGCAGATACAGCAGCAAAAACCGACGCAGGAGGAGTCCAGAAATTTTGTAAAAAGTAACTCGTATATATTCGGAAAGCCCTTAGCGGATACAATACAGGCTGTCCCATTTAAAAATAAACAACTTTATGTCATAATTAAAAAAAATCTGAAAAAACTAACCGATCCACTAATCCAAACTAAATCCAGCTAAACTTATCTATAGACGGAGAAATGCGAAATTTTAAAAGTCACCCTGTAGCTCAGAAACGCGAATGGAAAAAGTTTTACTCATAACCGAGATATCCCGCAATGACGATGAATTTCGGACACACTGTACATATGTGATTTTTTTGGACGAACGGTTGCGATGTCGCCTCCCCCCTCCCCACCCGACGCCCTAAAAATTATCGATTTAAATTAATTACCTCCCCCGTCCCTTCCCACCTACTGTAAATGTGCGTTAATTGGTAAGTAACCCTGTAGGCAAGCTCTCGAGTCGTTGTTATATCGTATCGAATCATAATAAAAAAAAACTGATGCTGAGAGATTGGCGATTATTCATTTAGCCCCCCCCCCTTCTCTAAACCGGCAATTTCGTATCTGGGAAACCACGAATTGTAGAGATATGCGGTGAATTAAGGCGACCAAACAATTTTTAAGGTAGGAAAATGAATTTTAGCAAACAAAGTTTTACTATAGGTTGATAGTTCGACCAGTGTAAAAATTTACAGCTTTTCGGTTCGTCGCTTTTAATTGTAGGGTACGGGGATCTCTCACCGGAACGCCCATAATGTTGGTTCAACTCCAGATAAGCTTGGTCAAAGAGTTTATGACTTGAATTCTTTTTTTTGTTGTTGAACCGTGGGAAAACATTATCCCATATTATCCCAAACATAAAAAAAAAATAAAAAAATGTTTTTTTTTTCTCTAAAATTATTTATTTTGTTGCACACGTGTCAAAAAAAAAAAAAACTCGAAACATGCAAAAAATACCGATGCGTATACGAACCACTGGGAAAAAACATAAATATACCAAAGAAAATTTAAATTCGACAGAAAACAACTAAAAGTGGCTGTGGCAGATGCTAAATCTCCTTCGGGCTTTATTAGAATGAACAATCATGACCTTGATTATCACAACGCACTTCATCTATGGCATGTGCAAGATTTCTTTGAGTAATTGTTTTATCAGTTTTTAAAAGTCGCAAAGCAATGTAAGATTTAAAATCTACCTGGGAAATCTTTTGTTCGTTGACAATATTATACAATCTCCATGCATGTTGAATCGAAGTTGCTGACGTTTCGCCAATCATCCTATTGGCTTCTACGGAGCTTAAGTGATACTGTTAGGTTCAGTTAAGCTCTGAAGAAGCCAACAGGATGAATGGCGAAACTTCAGCTAGATAGTCAAGACGCGACACAAAAGAAATTCAGAAGTGTAGCTAGCTACAAGTTCGACAACCTGCGAAAGTTTTTTGTAGAGGGTGGTCCATTTAAGATGCTGCTGTACCTTATCTCACTGAGGAAGAAAAATTAAACACAGAAAGTATTTGACTCTAAGTATATATCTCATATATACTATTATTACGTATACAGAGTGTTGCATTGTACCAGGACAGTAACCAACTTTTTTTTTTAAACTAAATATTTTTAAAAATTCTAATTATTCGATTTAAATTTTGAATATTTTTTATCATTACATAGTATACGAAATTTTAAGTAGTTTTTGAGAAAAATGAACTTTGCGTGTTTTTTTACACTTGAAAACTAAAATTGGGAATTTTTATTATGGATCCATGGAAATGGTTAATATTTAATGTTTTGACCTATCTATGGCGAAATTGAGCATCAAAAAATTGTTTTTTGCAATTAAAAAAACTCAATTTTATATTAATATTAATAGACCTCAAAAATAAAGTGCTGTCTTGGCACAATTTCTGTGTCGTACTTATTGAGATAAGATATCCTAAATGGACCACTCTGTATGCATATGACACTACACCTTATTTGACGAAAGTGAAGGAGAACTATCACTTTTGTATGGATATTCCGCATGCGGTGCAAATAACTTCTAGTTTCACAACACCTAACTTCGTTATTTTAAATAAAACACCCGGCATATTATTTGATTTTTTACTTCTGAGGAAACGGTAGGTTTCTTCGATAGATATGTTTATTAATTTAATGATTTGAAAGA